CCCCCCCCGCCGCCACCCTTTTATATTTTTGCACATCATTTTTAGGCGGGATCCCTCTTTCTACCAATATAGCAATAAATCTCTTGGGGTGGTAGAGGTTGCGTTGGCCGACCTTTGTGAGTAGCCCTGTTAATAAAAAAAAAAATAAAAATAGCTTGGTGAGCCAGTCAGTCGTTTTTCATGGTGTTTTAGCCAATTAACCTCTAAGCAGGGTGTGTGTGTGTGAAGGAGTCTCCCATCCTTTCGATCTTTTGGGACGAACCTTGTGCAGCATTTTAGGGTTTTGAGAAATGAAATCAGGAGACTTGGAGAGACAAAGCCGCGAAGAAACATGTATCCCAATTCAATCCACTCACGGGTCTTTTTCCTCTTTTCCCCCCCATCTCCCCCCCAACAGGTTTTGTGCTGGGCGGCGCCTTTGGCGTGTTCACGGCCGGCATTGATACGAACGTGGGCTTCGACCCAAAGGATCCGTACCGCACGCCGACAGCCCGGGAGGTCCTGAAGGACATGGGCCAGCGCGGGATGTCCTATGCTAAGAATTTTGCCATTGTGGGCGCCATGTTCTCCTGCACTGAATGTTTGGTGGAGTCGGTGAGTCGCTTTTTGACCGGGATCCACTGGTCTCTTCTGTTCCTGACCAAAAACCAGGTGGGCGAGGGTGACGGGAAGGGGACGGCTTCCCCCGTCATCCTGCCTGTTTTCAGTGGTCCCGACGGCCATGGTCTGGGAGCCCCCGTTTTCAGAGGGCGTGCTGTCATCTGTATAGGTCAGCAAAGCCCCGTCATTTACTGGTGGAGCTACCCCATAGCATGGATTGATCAGTGAGCAATCCTTCACCAAGTACAGCAATAAGAGTGGAATAAAACACCCTAAAAACGCTCCAAACATGTGTTTGTTTCCCAACTTGAAATTCATAAGACTGTGAATAAAGGACACCAATTGGGGCATAAGATGCCATGTGTAGAGTCCGCACGCTTGGCACTGACTGTGTGTGTTTCTCCCGTAGTACCGAGGCAAATCAGACTGGAAGAACAGCGTTATGAGTGGGTGCATTACTGGAGGCGCCATAGGCTTCAGGGGTGAGTAGGCTTTTAGGGTGACTCGGCTGATTAAATTTTAAAAAACACATTTTTGAAGTGAAAGCAAAGCTTTTCATGTTGCTGTCCTACACCTTTTCATGGCACTGAGTTGGGTTGGTGACGCAGTGCAGCTGTCTCCACCCGCGGCGCCTTTTCCGTCTCGAGGGCTAATCCCAAGCTCTGTGGTTGCTTATGAAGGCAAACGCATCTCTTCTCTGATAAACGGGAGGAAAATATGTTAAACTGGCTTAAGTCTCCATTTTGCTGTTTGCTACCCTAAGCACTCTCTGGTAGAAAGGCAGGATGTGAACTAAAGAAACATCAGCCTTTTGATTTTCAAACTTCAGTGTTCTCATTTTAAGCTGGCTGGGGGATTCTAGCCGTTGGGCCCCTCAGTTGGTCAGTGCGTATGGAGGTGGCCCTGTAGGAGATACACAAAACTCAGCTGGACCCTGCGTTCCAGCAGTAGGGGTTAAGGAGACAGGAAACGTCCTCTAGGAGGAGCACAGCTCTTCAGACGGGAGAAGCGCTGCCTTCTAGTTAGGAAAAGTAACCCGAAGTTCTTTTAGAAACGAGAGTGGTTTGGGGCCAGGAGGGATGCAGATTGGCTAAAACCTGTGTGCTGCTAATCTTTCCTAAGAGCATTAAACCTTGCTTTGGACAGCTTCCTGCTAAGCTCGTTAGGCCAGCCCTGATTGGTTTAAACATCGTTGGGAGGAAACACAGCTGTCATCTCCTGATCGCTTTTCACCAAGCGTTGCTGCCTCCAAAGGGACTGTGAGTCACTTAGGGATCACGAGCGAAAATCTCCAGGGCAGACCGAGCCGTGTGGGTGATCTGTGCTTTTGGGGCCAACTGTCCAGACACACCGAAAGGCGAGAGACGCTGGGTGGGCCTCATTGCTTTCGCCTCTTCCTTTGCAGCTGGCCTCAAAGCAGGCGTCCTCGGGTGTGGAGGCTTTGCAGCTTTCTCTGCGGTGATTGACTATTATTTACGGTAGCCGCCGGTGGAGCCGACAAGGAAGGGCCTCCTGGTTTGAACTCTGCAGAACAGCAGGTACCCGCGTGCTTTCTTTTCCTGGGCTGCTACCCATTAGGGAAGCAGAGAAAGTTTGGGGTGCTCTCTTGTAGAAGAACACGGGCACACACCCGGTACCTCGGTGGCGAAGTCTTCTAAGCCAAGCCCTGGCCGAACATCGGAGGGAATCAGCAAAGAGCCGCCCTGGACCCTCCTGGCTCTGGCTAAGGGCGCAGTTTGCTTGGTGACCATGGCTGCTCTTTAACGTTAGGGCAGCACCTCCCATCGCGCAAGAACTCCCTGTACTGTTGCTGCAGTTTTGGATATGAGTGGAATGGAAAGATTGAGTTACGATTTGAGTCAGCATATCAAGGACTTTGATACCAATAAAGCAGGAACTGCTTTCAGAGACAGAACAAGTATCCCATGGCTAGTTGTTTTGGGGTGGATTCCAGAGGTGGGCCCTCTTGAGACCTTGCAACTCCCAGAGGGCCCTCCCAGCCGCCTCAAAAGTGTGGTCTTGAAACACATTCATGAGCAAACGGTTACAAAAAGCCAAGAGGGAGCTGTCGGGTTCCCTCCGTTGGGGCAAACGGCCAATGAAAGTAAAAGTGACATTCTGCCAGGTTGAGGTAACTGTCCTTCCAAGCCCTCAAGTCCTCTTCTATCAGGAGAATCTGTAAGAGAGCATGGGGACCTTCTTGCTGCTTAGCACCCAGCTTGTTCCTCAAGTGCCTTGAGGGGCACGGAGTAGACCTTGCTGGCAGGAATAGGTTCTTCCCTCGTGCCAGAGGCAATGGGGGCACTTGAGCTGGATAGCCCCCCCCCACACCCCTCTGTAGGTCAAACAATGAGCGTGCAGGCAGCTAACGAACACTTTGCAGAAGCGGCCATGAAAATGGGGGATCGTTACTTGAAGCAGGAGCTCTGCTGCTGACGACTCGCTGGTGTGACGCAGGAGGCGGCCAACCAAAACATACCAGATGGGATCGCAGGGAAGGTAGGAACAGGTTTGGGAAATGGTTGCTCCTCCAGCCCTTTTGGAGCACACTTCCCACGATCCCTTGCAGTTGGACATAGTGATGGGAAGGTAGAAAGCCAGAGGCTCCCCAGGGGGGGGGGGGGAGGGGGCGGCAGCATAGGTCCGTCCATGTAGCCTGGGCTGCTGCTTCCCCCAGCAGCTTTCTCCTGGGGGAGAGAAGAGGGTCTCTCTTCCCCAGGAGATACTCCCATCAGCGGCTACTCCTGGGTCCTTTGAGGAAATGGGGGGGGGACCCTTTGCAGGCCTCGCGAGGGCCCCCCTCCCTCCCAGCACCACCCGGGAAAGAGGCAGCGACCCTTTCGCTCTTCATTCATTCTTGTGGTCTCTTAAGCATTTGGCAGGCTTAGATAAAACAACCCACGGAGACCTCAGGCAGGTTCACTCAGCGGGGTCACCCCAGCGGGAGAACAAAAAGCACACCAGGCACCCACCCTGGAGTCCCCATGGTAACGGCACTGGTTGCCTAGGAGACCTGTGGTGGTTTCCAAGTTGAATCAGGAGGGTTTCACACTGTGTGTCCCTCCTTCTCATTCTTGGCCCAATGGGAAGCCGGGGGTGGTGATGGTGGTGTTGCTGCACAGGAGGTGAAGTCTTTTGTTGAATTGGTGGTGGTGGTGGTGGTGGTGGTGTTGCACAGGAGGTGAAGTCTTTTGTTGAACGGCAACATAACTGTAATGAGCCCATGTACCCCCCCTCACTGGCTTTTGCGCGCACCCCACGGCATGAGGCCAACGGGAGCCTTTTCAAGCAAGGCTCAGCGGAAGCACACCCTTCCTTCTGAACCTGAACCGCATCCCGTTTCTGCCACTGCCCGGTCTCCGAAAGGTTAGACGCAGTAACCCCACCAGGTGCCGGGCTGTCCAGACCGGATGCCGTCTCTATGGCTAGGGAGGGACCCTGGGCCACAGTTGACGGGCACTTCACCCCGCTGAGGGCTGCCAGGCCTGACGGGCAGCCACTGCCTCAGGTTTTTGATGCAGGTTTTCCCAAGTACCTCTCTAACCTTGGACATAAAAAAGGCCACTCTTGCAATCGTTTCTGCAAACGTTTTGGGCTTTGCATTTTATTAGCATTTTTTTAAAGATCTGTTCCATGTGGTGTATATCCACTTGAAATTTGTCATCTACAGGGAGAAAAGCCTGCAACGGAACACAATATATATATATTGATATATATATATCACCTTAAACAAGTCAAAATTCAATCAAGGGTTTCTAATCCACCTGTAGCTCAAGGAGGCCCAGTCTCCCCTGCCCCCCTTTTTTAAAAGGTCAAATAAAAAGAGTAAGTGCAGTTTTGGGCAGGGGCAGGCGTCTACGTTGCTGTCAGAGTTAAGACACTCAGAACTGGGTTTGTCGTGACAACTCCACCAGCAACAGAGCCACATGTACAGGTAGATGTCGAAACGCAAAGAACGGGTGTGCCGTCGGGTCGAAGGCACATCTGGGCAGCTACGCAATCCAGCGCCCAGGTAAGGAAGATCGTTCTGGTCCCTGAACAGCATTGGGTCGCCTTTCCTTTGCGCGGCAGATGTGGGATCGACGTCCCTTAATCTCCAGGGATGGAGCGGAGATGCCCCTCCTTTGGTGGGCTGGCCTGCTGGCTGAAGTCTTGGCTGGGCTTCTGGATAGCACCGGCAGGTGGGGGGGGGACAGCTGTGGCGAAGAAGCCCCCTCCGCAAAGAATAGAAACTGCTAGCCACTAAAGACTCCCCTAGCCCAGAGGGAAGCCGAGCTCGGATCTAGTCAGCAAATTGCTCTGAAGGGAAGAAGACGGAGGAGGTGCTCCGGGCACCGGGAGGAGGAGGAGGCGTAAGGCGTGTGAGCTGCCCGCAAAGCAGACGCCGCCCCTCTCCTGACCGCCCTTTGGAGGAGTCGGTTCCCAGGGCCGGCTGCAGACAGAAGATGTGCCACAAGCCGGAGCCTCTTGAGGGCGGGAGGCAGTCCCTGTCCATTTTACCTGAGCCTTCCTAGTCAAACCCTGTAAAAGCAGTGCTGGTGGAGACCCAGAGAAGCTGCCCTTTTCCTCCCCGTGGACGGCAGAAGGGAGTCCAGCGCCCAGAAACAGTAGGCCTCCGTCAAAGGGGGCTGAGCAAGAGCCGTCGCTCCCTCAGCAGGGCATGGCTGGCGAGGACGACCTGGAAGTGCCTTGGGCATGGGCATCCTCTGGGTCTGCCTCCCTTAGGCAGCCAAGCCTCTCCCCCCCCCCAAACACACCTCACGCACGCATTCTCTTGTCCAGGGGACTCTCTGTCTTTGGGGAGCTTCCCATTGCCATAATCTCTGTTCTCTTGTAGAAGGGTTAAGAAGACTGAACTTGTCGGAAGAGAAGGGAAACATAAATAAACCAGAAGGGGTAACAACTGGACGGGGTGGAGTGGGGGGGATTCCTTGTCTCTCTCACTCACTCACACCCCTACCTAAGACTAGCAAACACATTTGCTGTCATCAAAGTACCTTACCATATGGAGGGAATGGGGTGCAGGATGGCAGGGCCGCCCCTTCCCAATCTGTACAGTGACCAAGCCAAGGGACAGACGGACCACCCAGACTCTCAGTGTACAGAGAAATCTCCGAGACAAGAATTTTTACAAAGAAAAAGCCAGGCACCCACCCCCCATCATCACTCCCAGTCTTTCCAAGGGGCTTCGGAGAGGCAGGTGGGACCAGAGTTCCGCTGTGGGCGCCCCCCCCTGCACCGGCGGACGAGGCAAAGCAAGAGGAATTTGGGGGTAGAAAAATGGAAGGTGGAGGAAGAGCTCCCGATGTCTTCTCAGCAACCAAAGCGAGACGATCAAAGCAGGCCCCAGACATGCAGGCCACGAGTGCGAGTTGCAAAGAGGGAACAGGGCATCCTGGCTGGCCGGCGCAGGAGGAGGGGCTTGGCTGCAAGAGAAGCCCAGGAGACTCAGACAGGGAGGGGCGACCTCTTGGAAACAAACGCACGGCCTGCCAAGGCTCTGGGGGTCCCCGATCCTCCTCGATGCCTCGCTTCCTTTTTCTCCTCTCCAGCCAACGTGATGTAAAAATGGCTCCCAGACACTCGGGGGGGGGGGGAAGCCCCGAGGGACGAGGGCGACTGGGCAGAGGAAAGAAAAGAGTGCTGGGCTGATGGAAGGTGGTACAAAATGGTCCCACAGGCACCCGCCGTCCGTGTCCAGACGCAGCACCGTGTCCTCCTCAGGCGGAATGTCCCGGGTGTGAGTCTGCACCACTGCGTGCCTCTATTCAGGAAACACGGCCTGCTGTTCCAGCCGCAGAGCGCCAGGGAGAGAGCTACACGTCCGTGGAGAAGTACAGCGCGTTGCGCTTGAGCTCGGCGAAAGTGATGGGCGCGTGCTGCAGGTAGTACAGGAGCACCTGGACCTAGAGAAAGTGACCAAGATGGTTGGTTCACACTGGGAGCCCCCCATGGACGGCCACCTGGCAGGAGGTGAGCCCGGGCGTAGTGCACGGCGTTCCTTCTCTGTGGTCCTCAAACCATCCCTTGTTGGAAGGTTTGCTCCCACGGGCACCTTGGCCGGCTCCTCCCCTCACCTGCGGCCTCTCCGCCCCCCCCTTACCTGTGCCATGACGTCGTGGGACCAGATGTCGGAAGCAGAGCTGAGGTGCCCTTTGCTCTCCACCTCGGAAGGCCGCAGCAGCGTCGGCCCAAAGACGGTGGCCAGATTGTGCAGGGACATTTTGTTCACGGGCTCTTTCTCGGCGACCCTGTGCGACAGAAGAGAGGGACCCCTGCAACGCGGCTCTGGTGCGCGGTCTGCGCTCTGCCGCGTAAGCCCATGCCAGGGCCACCGCAGGGAAGGAAGCGAGGAGCGCCGTTGCCGACTCTCCTGCCCAAACGCCACCGGGCCCACGTCAGAAAGCTATGCATGGGCCGGCCTTTGCCTGCCTCAAAGTCCCAGCCTCAACGTGGCATCAGACCCTCCGCGCCCCCCATCTCAGCAGCCCCTTGACCCACCTGTTGGCTCCAGGAATCCTAACCCAAACTCCCCTCCGGCGCACACCTTCCCCGGAAGCGGCTGACAGCCGTTGCTTCGGAAACCCACATCCCAATCCGGCCACGTTAGGGAGGCAGCTGTGCTGCGGCCTGGCCTCCCCTCCCCTCCCCTCCAGCAGCCGAACAGATGTGGGAACTGGATGTGCCCTCTGCTTCTTCCCAGAGGAAAGAGCCAAATGGATTTTCCTGGAGGCGCAGCAGTGCCTTCCCTCCCTCCCTCCCGGTGCTGGCTCTTCTTTATTTATTTTTCCAGCAAGGGAGGGGGAACGTGCCAGTAACACAAGATTCCAGTCCCCAATTCCAAAATTCCCCTCCGTCGGTTTGCAGCCAGGTGGATGCTGCGCCAAGCCACAAGCTCCTCTGCCGATTCGGTGTCCTCAGCAGAGGACCGTGACCTGAGCCACCGTGGCTGGGGCCGCAGAGCTCCCCAAGCGGAGGCCGGGGGGGGGGGACCTGCTACTGAGCATCTCCTTGAACCCGCTCCCTCGCCTCCTTTCCACCCCTTGAATGGCGTGGCCGGGGGGGGGGACCTGCTACCGAGCATCTCCTTGAACCCGCTCCCTTGCCTCCTTTCCACCCCTTAAATGGCATCCACCGCCTCCTGGGAACACAAGAGAGGCCAGGCGGAACCGTTTGCTTTGCTGTGCTCCCCAAAGTGGCCCTCGAGGTAGGGCCGAGGGTCTGACGCTCCCCAACGAAGAGCAAAAGACTAGACTTCCCAATAAATAAATAATAATAAAAATAAAAAAGAAGGGGTCTCCCTGGATCACGTTCTTCCCAGTCCTCCTCCTCCGTCTCAGCGCCTTTGATCACACATCTCCACTGCTCAAAACATCTGGCCAAGTTAGGAGCCATTTGCTCCCTCCCCCTGTTTTCTTTTCACCAACTAGCATGAGGAGGAGTTCCGGAGAACCCCCAAAGCTTGCACATTTTATGAATGTACAGTTGATCCCATTAAAGTCTTCTATTCCTGAACATCAACACAGACGACATCTGCTTTTTTGAACACTCAGGAGCTGGCAGATTCCAGCCGTCTTTGGCATCTTTATAACCCCTTCTGGGCAGAAGCTGGCCGGGCCCTTTGCTTCGTTCCGTTTCTGATATCTGCAAAAGTGTCATTATATTTGTGTTCCAGGCCTTTGAGGTACTCTCTCTTTTGAACACCACTTTTTCTCTGGCAGAATCTCTGTTTCCCCCATCCCATACAAACCAAGCACCTAGTATATATATTTTTTTGCTGTTCCAATATTTTAAAATTTGTGGTGCTTGTTTCTGCTTCTTGATCTGTGTTCTGTTCGTTCAAGTGATTAATTGCAGATGAAAAATTCTTTTTGAAAGTGCAGAACAAAATTAATTAAGTATCCATGGATGGCAGGCCCTATTGGCCTTCGCAAGTGAAGAGAAGCACAAACTTTTCTCTAGGACGGAGGACAGAAACTTACCGTTTCAAGTGTTCGAGCAGAAAAAGGAATGTGATGAGGTTGGGGTCCGGGAGGGAGCGTAGAAGATGCATCATGCAATTCTCCTTGGCCGAAGGGTCAGCGAGAGCTGGAGAGGGAAGAGGTGCAGAAGTCAACAAGTCGCTGTGGGGGCCTTGCTAATGAACCCCTAAGAGGGAAGAGGTGCAGAAGTCAACAAGTCGGTCTGGGGGCCTTGCTAACGAACCCCTAAGCTGCAAATCACACACACGCACACACACACAGGGTTCAGGGCAGGTGGGTCCTCTCTGCACACACAGAGAGAGAGAGAGAGAGAGGGGGTTCAGGTGGGTCCTCTCTGTCCTTGGGCTGGCAGGATGTAGGTTTAAATCCCACCATCAGCCACAGAGATCTGTAGGTGGCTTTGACGCTATTGTGCATGTTCCCCCTCCCCCCCAAAACAAACAAACCCAGAAGTGATCTGGGCGGCTCACAGAACTAGCGCAGCATTAAATCCCAGTTATGAAACCACCAGAAAGGAAGACACAGATCAGGTGACCCACACTGTCTTTGCTTCCCCAGCCATCTCTGTCAAGGTGGTCGTGCGGGATCTCCCAATTCAGACCGCTTGCGGACACTCTCTTACCGATGCCTTCCATGAAGGTTGGATAAAGCCGATCTGTGAGGAGGGGCTCAGGCAGCTCCCGGAAGTACAGCTTCAGGGTCCCAGCGATGGCGTTGATGTCCATGTCACTCAGCATCATCAGGATGTCTTTACTGTCTGTAGCGGAGAGAGGAGGAACGAGGCGGGCTTTAAAATCAAAGCAGTCAAAGACCCTCCGAAAGGTTCGCCGTACGGCAGGAAGTGTCTTGTTTGTACCCCCCAGCAGTCGGGCTTCAGGACTGTGAGAGGAGGTGATAACCGCTAGGTAACCTGGCCTTGGGGGGGGGAAATTAACAGCGATCTAGTGGAGAAATGGAAATTCCATGTTGAAAGGCAGTCACAAGCAACAGAGCTCTTCGTATGACTGTGAACCTGCCTCTCTTGGCGTTTGAACCCTTGTTCGGAAGAGCAGCCATGGGAGCGCGGAGGAGGTACTCACTGGAGTCAAAGGCTGCCTTCAGGGCCTGGATGTCGGTGGCCACCCCAGAGATCCGGTAGATCCCAACTTCATCAATGCCGCGCTTCTCCACTTCCTCCACACACTGGCGCACGATGTACGGCACCTTGGAGCGTTCGCGCCTGGTTGTGGGAGAAGAGGAGAGAGAGGTGAATCAGGAGAATGTGGATGATAATGATGATGATAACTGGAGGAAGAAGCAGGAAGGCCTGCTCCATCTGTCCTCCTGGGAAAGTGAGACATGTGATAACACAGTGCTTCTCCCCAAATCCTGTACGGGTATGTTTGGCCTAGGCCTGCTCCATCTGTCCTCCTGGGAAAGCGAGAAGTGTGATAAAAGTGCCTCTCCCCAAATCCTGGACACGGAAATGTAAGGAGACCTCATCAGGTATTGAATGCATTCCCTTTTTGTTCTAAAATCTGGCGCTGGAGCCAGAACGTGGCTCAGATGAAGCCTTATTCTCTGTTTTGAGAACCCCCCCCCCAAAAAAACAAACATGCCCTCCAGCCACCAAGCAGAACCCTACGCCGTCCACTGTGTTACCAGCCAGGTCTGTTTTGGGGCCCAGTTCAAAGGGGTTGCTACCGCCTCGAAAGCCTGACCTGGCCCTAAAGGAAGAGCGTTTTCCTGCCCTGCATGGTTCTGCCCATCCATGGAGGAAAAAGGTTCAGGGCATGACAGGGTGAGTTTCTGGAACTCCTGACCTCCAGAGGTCTGTACCGGCCCTTCCTGGAGAGCACCTCAGCAGAACGCACTGGCTGTGCATCACCCAATGCTGTCAATTGTGTCTCCTATCTCTCAGTAAACCAGGCCTGATCTTTAAACCCACTGCGCTGCTTCCACCTTAGAATGACAGAACTGGGGGGGGGGGTTCCCAAGAGCCTCACCCCCTGCTGGTGCAGGATACCCACAAGTAGAGCATGACTGATGGAAAGCCTTGGGCAGACTTCTGCACACACGCACACACACACACCAACCTCCTCCACTAGACGGCCCCTGCCAGCTTACTTGGTGACCACGCTGATTTTAACGCCGAAGACTCCTGTCTGCTTTTTTGAGGGCGTCCTCTTCAGGCTCAGGTCCCGGCTTGTGAACTTCATCGAAAACTCCACTTTGATCTGCAGGAAAGGTGAGAGAATGCTCGGAGTCACTCAGCATGGCGAGGAAACCGCAGTGGAGCCCAGGAAAGAGAGTTCAGGCGTGCATTTGTCAAGGGGGGCGCGCGTGGGAAGACTCTGAAGCAAGCAAAGGGATGCGAGGGGTGGCATGTTACCCACCCTCTACTTACCCCATTCATCTCGATGACGTCCTCTTGCCAGTTCTTGGTTGGCACCGTCTGGGGGTCCAGCTACCAGAGAGAGAGAGAGAGAGAGAGAGAACAGAATGAGCGGTCAGATGCCTGTCCTGGATAAGACAGAGCTCTTGTCCACAAGACCACAAACGGTCCTGCATCACTCCAGGGCATGAGGGGACCATTGTTGTTGGGTTGGATGCCCACAGACAGGCAGAGGATGCAACGTGAGTTCACACTGCCGGGTGCTTCAGCATTTACCTGTTTCAAGACCCTGTTCCGCTACCCAAATGAAACGCTGGCAAAATGGGCACTCTTGGTGCTGCCCCATCTTTGCCCTAGAGATGTCTTAATAGTTTAATTTAACCCAATGCCATTTAAATCGCAACCAGCGTGCTGCAGTGGGGTCTTGCAGGACATGAACGGCCTTGGAATTCAGCCTCCTGAGTGCGGCAGCTTTCAATGTATTATTTTTTTGAGTTCAGTTTCTGCTCCTTATGACTGAAGTATATGGTGTCCCAGCCAGAGGAGCAAAACTCCCCGAAGGCAGAGTTGAGTGAATAAATTCAGCAGGATTGAAGATGGGAGATCTTTTTCATGACACCAAAACCAGAAAGAACCATATTAGTTTTGAGTAGGGGTAAAATCCTGCCTTCTGAAGGAAAATGTGCAAAAATGAAGCACACAGAGATTTATATCGTCAAGTATAATCCTTGAGTATTGCTGGAGGTGCGTATGATGCAAAAAGCTCCGTGAAGCCCAGCCGGTCAGAAGGTCCTTGATGGGAAGCTGCTGTTTGAATTCCGCGACAGGAGAAATGAAGGATGAAAATGTTTGAATAAATATGAGAAAATCCTGCAGGGCCAGGAGAGGGAAAATGGCCTGCGGAGGGGGTTGTGCTGCTTTTCTCGCTGGCCCCAATTCAAGGCAGGCGGTCGCAAAGGTTGTCCTGTAAACAAACAGAAATCCCACGGCTGGACAGCGGCTCTACCACTCAACCAGCGGGAAGGCCTCTCTGGGAGAACCGGGAAGCGAGCGAAGGCCCGGCAGGAACCGGAGCAGATCCGGGCTGGGGCAAGTGTCCCGCTTGGGACCCTCTCCGGACCCTCCTTTCTTCCAGGAAGAGCCGGGTTTCTTTCCCAAGCAGGTGCTGGGCGGAGAGCCGGGGCAAGCAAGGCCAGAGAACGAGGGGAAAACAGGAAAGAACCGCAAGAAAGAACTCCCAGGAAAGAGGGATATTTTTGGAGACGGCTTTCTAAAATCAACGTGGCGGGAAAAGGCCGTGACAGGGCCGCCTCCTGGGAAAGCTGGCTGAGCCTTTTCCTGAAAGCCGGCCTATTCCGGCACTTTCCAAATGGAGGGGGCCGGGTCAGGCTGGGGCTCGGAGCACCTCCCAACGTTTCTCAGAAGGACCGGAGGAGCTTTTAACATGCCCGGGGAGTCCGGAGCCTGCGCCACCTCACACAAGGATGGCTTTGGGGGTGTGTGTGTGTCCCCTGCGAAAGCTAGCGCTGAGCGTGGCCAGCACCTACCACCACCACCACCCCCTTTTGAGACCTGCAGGGCTCGGCGCCCTGAATAGCCCAGGACACACACACCCCGGCGGTTCTCTTGAGAAGCTGCTTTACAGCCAACGGTGTCCCCCGGACGAGCCCACTGCAGCCGTGGGGTTGCTCCTGATGGCGCCATCCCAAGAACACCCGGGATCCGGGTGGGCAGTGGCTTCACATCCTCTGGCTGGAGAATTCAAGTCCAGCCCCAGGAGTTACAGTAGGACGTCCCAAACCCCTCACCCAATTGCAAATCCTCCGGATGGGGCCACCACCGACAAAAAAGTAGGATAAGTGGCTTTAATAAGGTGGAGATTATATGGTGTCTCCAGTCAGCATATAATCATGGTGGATGACCGGTTCCCACGGTTTCTTCTCTGTAGATCCTCATGGCAAAGGCCTGCATTTTTTAAAAATTTTCATTATGGCAAACCTTTTGATTACTGGCCTCGTTCACCAAGGTTGTGGTTACCTCTCCACCCTGCCACCTGAAAGCCTAAAGTCTGTACTTTTGCCTTTTACCCAAAATGAAAATGTAGAGCAGCAATTTTGGGGTAAATACTTCGGGAAGAATGCCCCCTCTCCTTGACCTCCTGGTTTAGATCCTGGAAGTATGTTTCTTTGGGGAAAACTTTTGAGCAGCTCACCCAGAGAAATAACCATCTCTTTAAGAAGTAGCCCTATAGTACACACAATACACACACAGTCTCTCCCCCACCCCCAAATATGGAACAACTAGACTAGTTACAATCATATAACCACGGACTAGACTCTTCTGCCAATCTGTCTGTAGATGCAGTTACCAGAATTGCAGTTTTGGACTACAGCGCCCAGAATTCCTAGCTAGGATGGCTACTGAAATAGCTCTAGTTGACATGATCAGAGCCGCCTCTTCCACACGGCTCATAGTGTGATGTACAGTGAGAGGAGTGGCGACGGGTGTTATGCTGCAGTGTTTACTTGGGGTGGAAGTTAAGGTACCAAAGGCGACATCACTGTGCTCATATTCTGGCTCTTATTGACTCAGATCATTGGCCCCACTAGGCTAGAGGTAGGAGCCATGTGCTTTCCTCACCAGAAGGTGCTGGGTTCCAGTTCCCATCAGTCCTTGGTACTGGACATGCTAGAGCTGATGGGAGTGCCAGTCCTAAAGGTGGAAGGCAACATGCCTGACTTGTGGGTGTTCTTCTGCACTGAAAAAGCAGGTTCCCAAGTAAGATTCAGGGATGAAACAACATTTTCTGCTCAACCCAAGCTCTCCTTCCTTCCCTCCCTCTCTCTCTCTCTCCCCCCACCTCTCAGAGCGGCTTCCTGCCTCTTTTCTCCCACACACTACAGACTTTTTTTAAAAAAAAAATCAGACTTTTAAGGAGATAAACATTCTAACAAGGATCCAGAGGTTTGATTCTCTTGCCTTACTATGTAAGGTCTTGGGGTGCTCTCAGACACCCCAAAGTTGAAGCTTTTGATATCCTGTAAATGCTCCATTGCAGGTTTTTCTCCCTATACGTAGCAACATTTAAAAGCTAGAGAGAGTACATATAGAATATAAATTGTACACGGTAATTTATAATCAGGGTAGATAGCTGTCAAAGATGTCTCCCTTTCAAGAGACTTTTTGTCATCAAATGTGGCGTCTTAATTATCAACTTAATGAATTAACCCATTCCGGGCATTCTCACATCTCCGCTTCAGATACTGAAGACGGAAGAGAAAAATTTAGGAGCAAAAAAAGCCGCCCCCCCATGTGTGAAGCCAAGGTGTTTGGGGATGGATTCCTGCCCCCTTCCCGGCCTTTTTTATCCTTGCTCCAAAC